CTCCTCCTGTTTACTTCTCATTTACTTCTCCCCTCCTCCCCTCTTCCTTTCGTTCTCCTCCTCTCCTCCTCCCGTTTACTTCTCATTTACTTCTCCTCCTCCCCTCTTCCTTTCGTTCTCCTCCTCCTCTCCTCCTGTTTACTTCTCGTTTACTTCTCCTCCCCTCGTCCTTTGCTCCTCCTCCTCTCCTGTTTACTTCTCGTTTACTTCTCCCCCTCTTCCTTTGCTCCTCCTCCTCCTCCCCTCCTGTTTACTTCTCCCCTCCTCCCCTCTTCCTTTCGTTCTCCTCCTCCTCTCCTCCTGTTTACTTCTCATTTACTTCTCCCCTCCTCCCCTCTTCCTTTCGTTTTCCTCTCCTCCTCCTGTTTACTTCTCATTTACTTCTCCCCTCCTCCCCTCTTCCTTTCGTTCTCCTCCTCCTCTCCTCCCGTTTACTTCTCATTTACTTCTCCCCTCTTCCTTTCGTTCTCCTCTCCTCCTGTTTACTTCTCGTTTACTTCTCCTCCTCCTCCCCTCCCGTTTACTTCTCGTTTACTTCTCCTCCTCCTCCCCTCTTCCTTTGCTTCTCCTTACGACCACTGCAGCCTCCCCGTCGATCACGCAACACCCCCCCCACCCGCCCGGACACCGCGACCGTCGTAAGTACGAGTCGGCCGCCGAGCGTCGGCGGTTCGGTCCCGCGATCGTAGCGGACGCCGCAACGTTGGCAAAGCCCTGCGAAGTCGCTTTTCTCCACCCACCCAGGGCCGTCGAAAATCGGGGACGGCCCCCCTCAACCGAACCGTCGTTCAGTCGAGGACCGGCGGAGGAACAGGCCCCACCCCACCCCCCCACACCTTGGCATTGTCGATCAAATGCAGGATTTCCGTCCGGCTGGAGGGATTCAGGTAGCCGGGAACTGTCAACTGGCCCAAATACTGGGAAGAAAGAAGAAAGAAAGAAGAAGAAAATTAAAATGAAAGAGGAAAAAAAGTCAATCCTCGGGCCGTCCTCGAACTTACGACCGCCACAGGGAACCGGGGAGGACGGACAGGTCGCCGAAACGAGTGACTTTTTTTAAAAAAACTTCACAATTAGTCAAAAGATCCCTTTTCGTGCCACCGCTTCGAATCCGCCCGGCGGTCGTTAAACCAGAATCGGGCGGTCGTTAAGCGAAGCCCGGGAGGCCGTCGTTTTGACTCGGCCGGCCTGGGAGACGGCGGGGAAGAGCCGCCGACCGCAACGGCGACGTCGACCGGCGGCTGTCCCTCATGGAAAGATTCGCTTAACGACCGAACGGTTCGGCGATTCCCCTTAAGGACGGAGGCGAGAGAGTCGTAAAATGGGCCTCAGCTGACTGAATTGTCTCGCTTAGCAATAGAAAGGTTGAATTCTGTTGCGGTCCTAAGCCGGTGGTGTAAGGGTCTCCTGCCTGAGCAGGGGGTTGGACTAGATGACCTCCAAGGTCCCTTCCAACTCTTGTGATTCTCTAAGGGTCTCCTGCTTGAGCTAGGGGTTGGGCTAGATGACCTCCAGGGTGCCTTTTAGCTCTGTCCTTCTATGATTCTGTAAGGGTCTCCTGCCTGAGAAGGGGGCTGGACTAGATGACCTCCAAGGTCCCTTCCAACTCTGTCATTCTATTATTCTGTAAGGGTCTCCTGCTTGAGCAGGGGGCTGAACTAGATGACCTCTGCGGTCCCTTCCAACTCTGCCCTTCTATGATTCTGTAAGGGTCTCCTGCTTGAGCCGGGGGTTGGACTAGATGACCTCCCAGGATCCCTTCCAACCCTGTTACTCTATGATTCTGTAAGGGTCTCCTGCTTGAACAGGGGGCTGGACTAGATGACCTCCCAGGTCCCTTCCAACCCTGTTACGCTATGATTCTGTAAGGGTCTCCTGCTTGAGCAGGGGGCTGGACTAGATGACCTCTGAGGTCCCTTCCAGCTCTGTCCTCCTATGATTCTGTAAGGGTCTCCTGCTTGAGCCGGGGGTTGGACTAGAGGACCTCCAGGATCCCTTCCAACTCTGCCCTTCTATGATTCTGTCAGGGTCTCCTGCCTGAGACCGGGGGCTGGACTAGATGACCTCGAACGTCCTTTCCAACTCATTCTGCCATTCTGTAAGGGTCTCCTGCTCGAGCAGGGGGGCTGGACTAGACAACCTCCGAGGTTCCCTTCCCGCTCTGTCCTTCTATGATTCGGTAAGGGTCTCCTGTTCGAGCAGGGTGTCGGACTGGATGACCTCCCGGGTCCCTTCCGCTTACCTTCACTTCCTTCTCGATGTAGTCGTTCAGCAGGACGTCCGGCTCGAAGCGATCCGGGAATCCGGCCGACGACACGGTGTGGAGCGCCCTCCGTTCGGTGACCTTCTCCTGCGCTTTTTTGTCGCGCCCCTTCTCCCCTTTCAGGAACACCCGTTTGAACGGCGAGACGATCCCTGGCTGCAATCAAAAGGACAAGTGTGTGTGTGTGTGTGGGGGTGTGTGTGGCAGAGTGACCAATCAAAACCGGCGGCCCTGGACTTGCGACGGCCGCGGATCCTCAAGTTTGGGTGACCGAGTGCGATATTTAGGACGTCCGTTTTGCCGTCGTGAAGCGTTCAGTTTGAGTCCCGCACGGAATCGAAGCTCCGTTCGAGAAGGATCAAAACAAGCGTGTCCTCGACTTACGACGGCTGCGGGTCCCGGAATTTGGGTTGCTAAGCGGGACATTGAAGTCAATTTTGCCCCATTTCACGGGATCAAAATTCAGACGCTCGGCAACCGGCTCGTATTTACGACGGTCGCAGCGTCCCCGGGGTCACGTGATCAAAATTCAGACGCTTGGCAACCGACTTGTATTTATGATGGTTGCAGCGACCCAGGGTCACGGGATCAAAATTCAGACACTTCGTATAACTGACTCGTATTTATGACGGTCGCAGTGTCCCAGGGTCACGTGATTAAAATTCAGACATTTGGCAACTGACTCGTATTTACGACAGTCGCTGCATCCCTGGGTCACGTGATCAAAATTCAGACGCTGGGCAACTGACTCGTATTTACGACGGTCGTAGCGTCCTGGAGTCACGGGATCAAAATTCAGGCGCTTGGCAACCGACTCGTATTTATGACGGCCAAATGGGGCAGAGCTCACCTCGTAAGCGTCTCGCTTAGTGATCTACATTTTGGGCGTCAATAGTGGTTGTAAAGTGTTGATTTCTCTCGACCGATGCTTCAGTCAGTCCGGGAATTACACTTAACACTTAACAACGTGGGCTAGACAGGTCGCAAAAGCGGGGCAAACAGTGACTTCACATGTGTCCCGCTTAGCGACCCGAATTTGGGGGCAGCATTGCGGTCGTTAAGCCGAGGACTAATTGGACTTCGCTTAGGTTGATCCCTGCGTTGACACCTTGACGCTGCTGGATATACGTAATTGAAGTTTTCTCTATTAAAAGCGTTTTAATTTTCTCTATTAACGGGGTTGCGGAGCGGAGGGTTGTACAATTACTAATTAATTAATCACCAGGAGACGGTGAGTTCTAGTCCCGCCTTAGGCATGAAAGCCAGCAGGGGTGACTTTGGGCCAATCACCAGGAGACAGTGAGTTCTAGTCCCGCCTTAGGCATGAAAGCTAATTGGGTGACTTTGGGCCAATCACCAGGAGACGGTGAGTTCTAGTCTCGCCTTAGGCATGAAAGCCAATTGGGTGATTTTGAACCAATCACCAGGAGACGGTGAGTTCTAGTCCCTCCTTAGGCATGAAAGCCAGCAGGGGTGACTTTGGGCCAATCACCAGGAGACAGTGAGTTCTAGTCCCGCCTTAGGCATGAAAGCCAATTGGGTGACTTTGGGCCAATCACCAGGAGACGGTGAGTTCTAGTCCCGCCTTAGGCATGAAAGCCAGCAGGGGTGACTTTGGGCCAATCACCAGGAGACAGTGAGTTCTAGTCCCGCCTTAGGCATGAAAGCTAATTGGGTGACTTTGGACCAATCACCAGGAGATGGTGAGTTCTAGTCCCATCTTAGCCACGAAAGCCGGCTGCGTGACTTTCAGCCAATCTGTAGGAAATGGGAAGCACAAACTGCCAGGCTACCGAGCGAGATAATTTGCTAGGCCGGCCGACCAACCCAAAACCGAGGGGAAGTAGGAAAAGACGAGCGACTTGCTGTCGTTCACCGAGCATCTGTCCCGCCGAGAAGGACCCATCTGCCCCTACCAATTAGCCCAGGAGTGACCTGGGATCCTCCGACTTGCAATGGCGGTTAAGAAGTGATCGAGACGGATCTTACGGGGCGGCCAGCAACAGAGAGGAATCTCGTCTGGCGTGGATCAAGAAGGAACCGTCTGAAGAATCGAGTCGTACCATCTTCCGCCGCCGTTTGAGGAAATCAGAGAGGGCGGTTTTGGAAGGGAGGGGGGAAGATGGGGAAGAAGAGCGGGTTGGGGGGCCACGAAGAGACCGAAAACCTGGCCGTGCGGGGGGGGCGATCACCAGCCCTTACCTCGCTCTCCATGGTTGTCCTTAGGACGTGGAACTACCTGGAAACGTCGGCTCACCGAGAGTCCCCAGGCTCACCTCAACAGCAATATAAGACTCGGGCATTAGCAGAAAGCGAGGCCGCCCGAGCGTCAACCTTCGCTCGTAAGCGAGCGAGAACCGGATGCAGACAAACCACAGTTTCCTCCTGAAGGAGGAGGTGGTAAGCACGAGAACCAGCTGTTGACGAGAAGAGAAACACCCCCCCAAGAGACTCCCACGAGAGAAAACAGCTGGAGAGGAGAGACCGGCTCACCTTTTGGGGGGGGGGTTGGCGCGTTCAAAACTTGGTCAAAGCCAAAAGGACAGGAGCAAACATCTTGCCGAGCCCCCCACGGATTTAAACGCGACCGAACGAGGATCCCCAAGCGTTCAAAACGGTTTCAGAAGGAAGCTGTTCGCTTGAGAGGTTACACAACCCTTGTCGGCACACCCGACCTTTCGACAAAACTCCGTCCAACACAACAACGTGGTGAGAGTAAAAAAAAAACCACCGAAACTTGAGCAATTGAACGAATTGTGTAGACTTCGGCCAAGTCCAACCGGGGAAAGAGATTGTGTGTTTGTCTGTGTGTGTGTGTAAAATCTCACAAGTTCAGGCAGTCCTAACCGATGACCACAATGGAGCACCAATATTTCGGTCGCTTTGCGAAGTGAATTTTCTCCCCGTCGTCCAACTTTTCTTAACGACGTCGTCACGGGCGGGAAAACGGTCCCTTTTTTTCGGCGCTGTTGTCACTTTCCACAGTCGCTAAGCGAACCGTCGTAAATGGAGGACCGCCTCTACCCCCCAAAACATTTGGTGGGGTAGCTATAGCTGAACTCACTGAACGATTGTCTCCCTTGTCTCACAATGACCGAAATTTTGGGGGATCCAATTTAGTCGTCGGTCACAAATTCTCAGGCAGGCCGGCGGATTTTTGTAGAAAAATCCCTTCCGTTCGCAGCTGTGTCTTGACCTACGACGGTTGATTTAGTGACAGCTCAAAGTTATGACCGGCACAGGAGAAAAGCTGACTTGGGACAGCTTGTCACACTCAACGACCGTCGCAGCGCCCCCGTGGTTGCGGGATTCAAATTCGGACTCTTGGTAGCCAGTTTGTATTGATGACGGTGGCATCCTGTGTGTGTGTGTGTGTGTGTGTGTGTGTGTGATATGATCCCCTTTGGCGTCCTTCCGACGAGCAGTGAATGGGAGAGGAGGTAGATTCACTTAACGACCGTGTGACCGACTTAACAACTGCGGCGATTGGTGTCACCACGGTGGCAAGCAAGATTGCGAAATGGGGCAAAGCTCCCTTGGCGAATGTCTGTCTTAACGAGAGAAATTTGGGGCCCAGTTCCAGTCATTAAGTGGAGGATGACCTGTATATTGGAGTCAAACTTGAAAAGTGAGAATAGAATAGAGTGGAACAGAGAAAGGAGAACAGAATAGAATAGAATAGAATATAGAACAGAATAGAATATAGAATAGAATAGAAAAGAATATAGAATAGAATAGAATACAGAATAGAATATTAGAGAGAATAGAATAGAAAATAGAGTAGAATAGAGAATAGAATAGAGAATGAAATAGAATAGAACATAGAATAGAATAGTATAGAATAGAGAATAGAAAATAGAATAGAGATGAGAATAGAGAATAGAGAATAGGATAGAATATAGAATAAAATAGAGAATAGAATAGAATAGAATAGAGAATAGAATAGAGCATAGAATAGTATATAGAATAGAATAAAATAGAACACAGAACATAGAAAAGCAAAAATATATAGAATAGAATAAGAATAGAATATAGAATAGAATATTAGAGAGAATAGAATAGAAAATAGAGGAGAATAGAGAATAGAATATAGAATGAAATAGAATAGAACATAGAATAGAACAGAATAGAATACAGAATATATAGAATAGAAAATAGAAGAGAGAAGAGAACAGAGAATAGACTTTGAATAGAGAATAGGATAGGATAGAATATAAAATAAAATAGAGAATAGAATAGAATAAATACAGAATAGAGTAGAGAATAGAATAGAATAAATACAGAATAGAATAGAGAATAGAATAGTATATAGAATAGAATAAAATAGAACAACGAACATAGAACAACAGAAAAAAATAATACAGAATAGAAATAGAGTAGAATAGAAAATAGAATAGAATATAGAATGAAATAGAATAGAAAATAGAATAGAACATAGAATAGAATACCGAATATATAGAATAGAGAATAGAATAGAGAATAGAGAATAGAATAGGATAGAATATACAATAAAATAGAGAATAGAATAAATAGAGAATAGAATAGAGAATAGAATAGCATATAGAATAGAATAAAATAGAACACAGAACATAGAACAGAGAAAAAGAATATAGAATAGAATAGAATAAAAAAAGAATAAGAATAGAATAGAATAGAGAATAGAATAGAAAACAGAGTAAATAGAGAATAGAATATAGAATGAAATAGAAAATAGAATAGAACATAGAATAGAATACAGAATATATAGAATAGAAAATAGAATAGAGAATAGAATAGGATAGGATAGAATATAGAATAAAATAGCGGTAAAAAAAAAAATCATAATAATTGCCAAAAATTAATTAGAGCGCCGCTCTTGGGAAGCGCCCTGGATTCATTCCGGATCGGGGAAAACTGAAATAAAAGCTATATTGGGAGACGTTTGTGCCATCTGCAAAAAAATCTGGGTCTGGAGTTTGCATTGACCGGGAACATTTTGTGTGTGTGTGTGTGTGTGTGTGTGTGTGTCTGCGTGGGTCTGTGTGAGTTTTGTGCAATTGCAGGGATAGATCCCTTCAACATTTTGCACGATGTGTCTTGGCAAATATCATTCGGAGGAAAAAAAACCCAGCTTTGCGTTAAATTAAATTCCTGGGAAATGCAAGTTGTTTTTTTTTAAAGCAGACCGTTGTGTTTATTTGTGGTGCCTTTAACCACAAAAAAAAAAAAAATAGTCGACAGGAAGCATGAGTCGCTGCAAAGGGTTGTCGGTGAATACCACACCCTAAAAACACACACACACACACACACACAAAACTGTTTTCTATTTTTATGAAGACGCTACGATGTTGTGGGGTCGAGATGGGTGCAAAATATCCCATTTAATACGTTAAAAAGGGACGGGATAATATGCTGACCGAGAAACCAGGAGACGGTGAGTTCTAGTCCCGCCTTAGGCATGAAAGCCGGCTGGGTGACTTTGGGCCAATCACCAGGAGACGGGGAGTTCTAGTCCCGCCTTAGGCCTGAAAGCCAGCTGGGTGACTTTGGGCCAATCACCAGGAGACAGGGAGTTCTAGTCCCGCCTTAGGCCTGAAAGCCAGCTGGGTGACTTTGGGCCAATCACCAGGAGAC